CTCTATTTTCAACTTTTTGAGGAACCTCCATACTGTTTTCCAGAGTGGCTGCACCAGCTTGCATTCCCACCAACAGTGTAGGAGTGTTCCCCTTTCTCGGCATCCCTGCCAACATCTGTCATTTCCTGACTTGTTAATTTTAGCCATTCTGACTGGTGTGAGGTGGTATCTCATTGAGGTTTTGATTTGGTAAATAATTTTTAAAAAGAAACTGCCTCCCCCTTTTCTCTCCCTTCATGTGCTCTCTCTCTGCTTTCTCTCTCTCAAATAAATAAATAATCTTTTTAAAAATAAATAAATAATTTTTAAAAAGAAACCGCCTCCCCCTTTTCTCTTTGGATAGAAGACTTATTTTGGAATATGAAATCACTTTAGGAAGAAGGGAAAGGCTTTGAAACTGGCTTACATCTGACATGTGTAGTGTGGTTCTAACGGGGGCTTTTCCTTCGACCCTCTTCTCTCTCTGGAGACAGGACTATGCCGACACAGAGCTCTTGCTTTCCCGGGAGAATGTGGACCGAGAGGCTCTGCTGAACTATGCCAGGGAGGCAGCAGACTTCTCCACTCAGCAGCAGCTGCCATCTCTGGATTTTGCCATCAATCACTATGGGCAGCCTGATGTGGCCATGTTCGACTTCACTTGTATGTACGCCTCCGAGAATGCTGCCTTGGTGCGGGAGCAGAATGGACACCAGTTGTTAGTGGCCCTGGTTGGGGACAGCCTCCTAGAGGTGAGTAGTAAGGGTGGCAGTGCTTTATAGTAGAGGCAAGTAAGGAAGCAGTAATAATTAGGAACAAACGTGAGTATCCCAGGTTGTAGAATGAGTGTCTATAACATTGTGCAGCAGAGGTAGACTCCCTGCAGGAGATATACCAGGAAGTAGGCAAGTTGCTAAGTATGAATGGAAGCTCTGCAACTTTTGTGATTTGCTCCTCTACCAGTTTATGAAGTGGGAAAGCCCAATATCTGAACAGTTGCCAAAAAGTACTGTCAACAGCAAACTTTCTTTAATTTAGTTCCTCTCTATTGAAAGGTTAATTTATTTTAGTTCTTTTGTTTTCTGTCTCCTTCGTAGCCTTTTTGGCCAATGGGAACAGGAATAGCTCGAGGATTTCTAGCTGCTATGGACTCAGCCTGGATGGTACGAAGTTGGTCTCTAGGAACAAGCCCCTTGGAGGTCCTGGCCGAGAGGTAATGGGAAATATCCAGGGGTCCCTTCCACGAGAAAACTAGGAGTGATGAGTGGTTTGCTCCTCAGGCAGAGTACACGTTTTCTTTCTTCTCTCTCTCTCTCACTCTCTCTTTCTTAATTAAAGATGTTTTCATATTTAAGAGATGAAAAGCAAGATATTGACTAATAAAATCACAGATATGTAAAGACTAAGTGCTCTTCTTTTTTTTCCAAATTAAATTTGTTACTGACAGATGGTAATCTGAATTTTTGTATTCCATTAAAGAACAGTATCTGATTCCTTTATGACAGTCACATGAACAAATATATAAGCATAGTACATTAAATCTTCCTGTCCTTAAAGTAGAAAGACTTACGCCAGTGAAATCAATGTGGTAGCAGGGGACATACTAACATAAGAAAAGAAACAAGAAGTGACTTTGAATTCAAAAGGAAACCCCAAACTGCTTGTAAACATTTCTCAAGCTTTCAAATGTCAGATATATTAAAGCAGATTATTGCAAACAAGGTAGGAATCCTAGGATTTGTTTGCTAATAAAGAACAAATGCCTTGACTAGAAAACAAGAGAAATATAAAATTTCCTGGGTGTAATTGGTGGTTGATAGCATTTTAAGCCTGTTACCTAAGGTACTCTGGGCAAGTTTGGTGGCAAGTTCTTTTTTCATCTGTGTTTTTCTTAAAAATTAAATATTGGTATTGGCCTACCTGAAAAAACAAAACAGTAAATTAGTTGCCTTTTAAATTAGAATCAGGCTTTTTATCCCAGCCTACCGCAGTGTACTTGCTCTTGCTACTGGTCCTTAACCAGTCCAGTGCCTGTGGAATCACTGGTGTGGTGGGAATTGGAGCAAGGGCTGATGTAGGTTTGGAGAAAAATGGTCAAGGATGAGGATTTGTCATATCCTTCAGATTATTCGGTACACTGTCAAAAAATAGGAATATTATGAAAGGAGAGGGAGATGTGTATGGTGCTTGTCACTGCTCTGACTAAATTGTTATATGTTCTTGCAGGGAAAGCATTTATAGATTGCTGCCTCAGACCACCCCTGAGAATGTGAGTAAAAACTTCAGCCAATACAGCATCGACCCTGTCACCAGATACCCCAATATTAACGTCAACTTCCTCCGCCCGAGCCAGGTAAGAGCCTTCTAGCCAGTTATCTACACCTGGGCCCATTTTCAGGATGGATCAGGCCTCTGAAACACTGAAATGTGTCTATTAATACCATATACACACACTTCTTTCATAATCCAAGTAGATGTCTCCCTGGAATGGTATCACTTTCCATCAACAGATTGAGCAGCTAAGGGAGGAAGTTGTTGAATGACTTGCCAGAAGAGCCCATGTGACCAAAATGGTGGATCCAGGACCTTCTCCAGGGCTTCCTCATTCAAGCTGCATGTTGTAGGGGAGAGAGCACTTGCTCACTACTCAGAAAACGGGACTTCTTGCATTATTGCCACCAGTCACTTTGACATGGACATGTCATCCCGTCTTCTCTGAACCTTAGCTTCATCGATAAAGTGGAGATAATAGTCCTGCTATTCACAGGACCATTGTGAGGGCAAATGAGATTGTTCACTTGAAGGGACTTTGAAAGTCAGGATGCTCTCTGGAAGTTAAAGGTACCATTGGTCAGTTTTGTTGAGCTGCTGAGTTATTTCCCACAATGTCTAAAGTCTTATAATTGCATTAAGAATGACATTTGACAAAGCGCAATAATCCCGAAGAGCCCAACAATTTTTAGAAAGCAGCCCATTCAACATATTTGCCTATGTACTTGTGTAATTTTTTATTCACTTTCTATAAGTTTATGGCTTTAAGCCTTCTATATCCTTTATATAAGGGGGCCATGAGACCTGCTGTCAATGGGCAGTATTAATGGTCCAGTAGTGACTATCAGAGGGCCCTCCTTGGCTGAGTAGCTAGTTTTTAGCACAGTTTTTTTACACTAATATGTATTTATTTATATGTAACCTCACCACATACCAGAAAGGATTTAAAGGTCATTGTCTTTATCTGAACTTTGCCCAACCTGCTATCTTATTAGTCTTTCATTTTGCTCTCAGATGGGAACTTATTGTGTGGTGTTTGATTTTCCTTCTTAACTTTCTGCCAGGTGCGCCATTTATACGATACTGGGGAAACAAAAGATATTCATCTGGAAATGGAGAACCTGGTGAATTCCCGAACTACCCCAAAGTTGACTCGCAATGGTGAGTTCTGGTAGTGACCTTTTAAATGCAAGTAACCTATTCAGAGAAATTTGTACTTACTCATTGAGCTGTCAGTGCACACAGTACTGTATAGGCAGTGGTTCTCAACCAGGGGTGATTTTGCCCCCCAGGGGACATTTGGTAGTGTTTGCAGACATTTTTGATTGTCAGGACTAGGGGAGGGTGCTGTTGGCATCCAAGGACGCTGCTGAACCTACAGTGCACAAATCAGCTCCCCACAACAAAGAATTGCCCAGCCAAAAATCTCAGGAATGTCAGGGCAAAACCCTCAGCCTAAGGTTTTAGGAGGGTATAAAGAGAAATCAGGTACAAATCCTGTTGAGAGAGAAAGAGAGAGAGAGGAAGTGCGTGCACACACACCAACTAAGGTTTCTTGGGGAAGCTTTAGGAAAAAGCAGTGGCATTTTTAGCTGAGCACTATGACATTGCCAGGACACAGTTATAGAGATAAAAGCCATTCTGTATTTTGTGTTCACTGAAGGACCCCTATAGATTTTTTTAAGAGGAGAACAACATGAATATACCTGGTCAGCTACATGTAAGATGGGATGGAGAAGGGTAACGCCAGAGGTAGGGCCACTAGTTAGAAATCCACTGTAGTAGTCAGGCTAGTGGTGGTGAAGGCCTGAATCTGATGCTGATGTTGAGGATGGACAAGGGAGCGGAGCATAGTTAGAAGAACTCTGACTTTGGGGCCAGGTGCAACTGGGTCCCAGTCTAAGCTTTGCTATTTGTGAAGTGTGTGGGCTAGAAGAGGATATTTTGCATCTGTGAGCTTTGGTTTCCTTGTCTGTAAAATGGGCATAAGAAATAGTTACTTCACACTGTGGTGATAAATGGCAGCCATTTTGTCATTGTCATTATTAATTATGTGAGTGAGAGTGTATTAAAGAGCCAGAATCAATAGGCATCAGCAGTTTGGTTGCATGGGTCAAGAGGTGGTTGCAGATGTTGCTGCCATCAGTTTGGACAAGGAAATGGGAGGATGAGAAGCTTTGGGTCTGTTTTGAGTATGACATGTTATTGGATTGTCAAGGTGGATTTCACAACTGACAGGCAGTCGGAAACATTTTCATCTTTCTCCACTCGGGTGTCATCTACTTGAAAGCAGACAATATACCTTTGTCACTATCATTTTAGAGCCTGGAATATTGAAGTTACCCAATACATACTGGATTGATGGATATACAGACTTGGGAGACATCTGAATAAAGTTAATTTCTGACGTAAATTTTTGATTTATGATGATAACAGCAGGAGTGTTTCTCTGTATAATTTTAGAATACATTTTCACCAAAAGACTTAAATGAAATAGGATTTTTATGATATGCAGTTTTTATCTTATGTTCCCAAATCACTAAATGACTTCATACAAGGTTAGATATTTCCAGCTGCCAAAGGTAAGAGAACAGACGTTCTTGGACGCAAATGGGAGTTCACAGATTCTTCTAAATGCTCCATATCAGAGCTCCTCTGATGCAATTAAGAAAAACAAACTTTTATTTTTATTTATTTTTTTTTAAAGATTTTATTTATTTA